CAGCCTGAGGCCTCCTGCTTACTTGTGTGACTGTAGTGCCATGGATTTGTGGATTTTTATTCTTGGAATGCCTATAAGATCTTAATAATTTAGGTATCCAGAAAATTAAGTAACTTGTCCACAGTCATATGGTTTCAGTTCTGATTCTTTTTGCATCAGTTTACATTGTTCGTCCTGATTTTGACACTGTTTTCTGTATAAATTCACATAAAATTAAGAAACTTTACTGTAAGACTGACAAATCTCCATTATTTTGAGAGTAAGTTTCTTCTGAGCAGACAAAACCACAGTGACTTCTGTCACTCCATAAGGGAACTGAAATTGTAGTTCTGAAATGTACATTCTGTCCCATCAGCAATTATTTCTATTTCCTTAGTCCTGTTCTTATACTGACAACTACGTCCAAGACATGCACTTAAACTTTAAATCCCCTCTTTCCATATGTACCATGTTTTGAAGGCTCTTCCTTCACCTTCATGTCTGTGGATATCTCTGAAACTGTGTTTTGTTGCCATTCCTATATTTTCGTAAGTCACTGCTTAAAATATTACATAGAGCCAGCCCCAGAATAAGTCTTCGATTCCTCTGCTAACTTAGCTCTAGCACATTGCCTGCTCCAAGGACAGCAGGATAGCCTGGCACTGTCTTTTCCTGTGTGCATGCTACATTTTGTCCCATTTTTACAGAAAGTTACAGAATTTTGTTCATTTTCCAGCTTTATTTCAATCTGATAGTTTCTTTTTTTTTTTTTTTTTGGTGGTGGGGGAAGTAATTTAACAGCTTCCAGCTTCTTCTAGCCTTACTGAAAGTTTAACGTATTTTTTTAATTATTTTTTACTTTATGTTGAATATTGATTCTAGCCTGTTTTGGCTAAAGAAAATTATTTCAATTTAAATATGGCAGCCCGATGCACAAAATAAATCCTAACACATTTTGCAGGACTAAGGGTGCTTATGACTACAGACAAAAGTGCTTCAAAAAGTAAACTGCCTTAGAAACAGTTTTTGTTGATGAACAAGAAAGCATTGATGTTTGAGAGCAAAAACTGATTTATTCTGAACTTGTCAGAGGTGCCAATGTCTTCAGGATAAAAGAGCTCAAAAGGAGGATGTTACTCCTTCCTTTGGTGGTGGCAGGATGTCCTACATGCTTGTGCAGGGTTTGCATGAAGCCAAGAGGACTTGGATAAAAGAGGAAAAGAGTTTGACCTGGAAAGGAGCTTCTAGAGAAGAAAAACCCACTTCTAGCTT